TGATATGGGCTATGTATAGTATACATGTGAGTGTGTGTTATGAAAATGAAAATGGAAATAAAAATTTAAATAAAAAAATACACAGAAACCTCTGTGTTTGGGAGTGCACCAATTGTACAACATTAATCTTATTTATGATCTGACTATCAAAAACAAATGCTCAATGTTCTTTTTTTTAAAACAAATTATTAATTCAAACTATTTGTAATTTCCAGGGTGGTATAACTAACAGAAGTATGCACACATACCAGATTCCTGATAAGGGTATTGCTAAAATATTACTCAGTCCCCATCTTTTCTTCAGGAACATAGTAGCAGGAATAGCAATTCTTGTTCATATTTTTTCCCCTGCAAGAATCTTGTACCTATACCTTGTACCTTGTATTTGGCTGATTGGGTGGAGAGAGAGCAGCTGACCCAAACTAGCCTGTGAACTCTCATGGCTGAGGGAACCTGTGTCTATCCTGTTGCAGCCTAGCATTTCAACCGCTATGACATATTGCTTCCTGAACCATAGAGCAAGTGGGACTGAGCAGCAGGCAGGAAAAACATGCAGTTCTCTTCTGTGTCGTTCTTGGGGTGGGATGGGGGAGAAGAAGGGAATAGCAACTGGGAGCAAAGTAGAACAAATGCAAAACTCTCCTGTTAACAATCCACATTGAATTATTACAATATGCTCCACACGATGCTTTCTTTGAAAATTTTGTTACACTTGAATTGAACTTAAACTCAAAAGTTTATATTCCTATTCCTCTGCAACAATTGTGTTGATTGCCAATTTACTTTTTAATGTTAGCTATGATTCACAAAACTGCTTGCATTGCAGTTTCCCATTTTTATAAATAGTGAGAAGATGGTGGTTCAACAGGGACGAGAAGACAAGGCAGACCAGCAAAATCCCAACAGAGGTTTGACCTACTTTCCTTTGAAATTCTTATAAGAGTTATGCCACTTGTCTAAATGACCTAAAGTAGATATCATGAATTGCCTTTAAATAGCAAAGCAGTCAAAAACATACAACAGGAGGAATATGCGCACACTCTTTCTCCTCTTAGGATCACAGTTGCCCAGAGCTGCCTGATGTGTATATCCCCAGATAGAAGTGTGCATATACAGTTAGCTGTCATTTAGCGATCACTGCTGGGACTAATAATTTAATTCTTAAATGAAGCAGTTGCTAAGTGAAACTGTTATGATTTTACTTCAGCTTTCTTTTGCTTTACAGACCTATGAATATTTTAAACACGAGGACTGATGGCTAAGTTAGTTTTCATCACCGTTGTAACTGCAAACGGCTGCTAACTGAGGCAGTTGCTAAGTGAGAACTACCTGTATGGACACTGATTTTTTTGAGGGGGGGTATGCGTAATCAGATACATACTTTTGTGGCTGTCCATGTATTGTACTTTTGCTGCCTATTCATTATACGCCTTGTTTTGGAATTGAATTTAAGAAGGAAAATGGAAGATAAATAAGAAAAATAAACATTATTATTTAGGGACAGACTGCTATTGTAAAAGGTTTTGCTCATACCTGTCAGCTCATCATTTGGCCACCATCCCAGCTCACAGGCTTTGCATGTGAACTCATCTTGCACAAATTCATTCTCCTTGCAAGCTGTACAAATCCAGCAGCAGCTCACTTCCCCCTTCCTTATAACCTACAATAAAGTTAGATATTTGTTTTTTGATGCAAACCTTTCAATATGGTTTCTGAATACAGTGTCCCTTTAGCAATATAGTGCGTGGCATTAAGAATACAGTCTCATAAAGTAATAACAGTAGGCAAATTTTAAAACCTGTATTGATGACTCAACTTATCTGGACCAAAATAGATCTTCTGTAAGTAAAAACCAAGTACTTGAGCCTTTGAAAGATCTGTAGCTCCATAACAGACTGAAGGCTTTCGGTCTAATTGTCCAGGCCTTCTTACCCAGCATTCACCAGAAAAAGGAGTCAAAGCAAAAGCACCAGAGGGGACCCCATACTAAAACTACTGATGGCCAAGTTAGTCTATAACACTCGTCTATAATAAAGGTAAAATAAAGGTATCCCCTGTCCAATTGTGTCCGACTCTAGGGAACCCATCTGCATTTCTTAGCTGAGAGAAATGCATTGTCTGAAAACCATGTGGCCAAAATGACTACATGCTAAGCAGACAGAATGCTCTTTGCTTCCCATTGAAATGGTACCTATTTTTCTACTTGTAATTGCATGCTTTCAAACTGATAGGTTGGCAGGAGCTGGTGCAAGTAATGGGAACTCCTCCATCATGTGACACTTGGGTTTCGAACCTCAACTATCAGCTTTTCAACTGACAAGCTCAGCATCTTTAACCGCTGAGCCATCGGGCCGCCTACTATCTATGCACACATATATTAAATAGTCAGAAGCAAGCAATATTTTAATTTAACACAATTTGCAAATCCAGCCCATGTAAAGACTGCAGAGACTAATTGTCCATTGCAACATAGGGCCATTTTGTAGATCAAATGCTGTTGGAAAGTTGGAAAGTAAAAGAAGTAACCCAAAAAGTCTATCTTGAGTGAAACATTAATGCACCCTACTTGGGTATTAGGTAGTTTCTAAAAATATGAAAAAGATTTTGCCCTTGAATCCTCATTAGAGTCCATTTTTTTGGAGCAAATAAACTTTAGTTGAGACCTGTCCAACATCTTTATCTAAAGCAAGGTCAGTATGTTCCATTGTAGTCATTTTACTTGTCCCATCCTTTCAAATAAAAGAATAATTCAAGAAGAGACAATAAGATTTTGATTGAGGGACACAGGTCAGGCAGGTTTATTTTGGTCTCTACTGAAAACATTAAAACTACCCATTTTTTGAAATTGAATAAGTGCAGGTCCTTTGTTTTTCTCATAGGACTAAAAAGGAAAGAGCAAATAAAGTATTACTAATAAATATTTCACTAATAAATATTCCCCTTCTGTAATACTGCAGCTTTTTATCAGCCATCCTCAACCACGTAAAATGGAACCATTGTTCTGATAAGCTAACTTTCTGTACATTGTTTGATTCTCATGGTTTTTTTTTGCTTCAGGCCAAATGAGCATGGTGGGTAGCAAATTGTTTTTAGCAAGATACAAATGGAGTCAGCAGGTAGTGGTTTTGTTTGAACAGAGATTTTATTTGCAGTTCAAAGCTGCCTATGATGTGGGAACAGAGGAAATGCAGTATGTGATGCATGTTTTAGTTTCCATGTAGGTGAATGATAGTTATAGAACATAATTAGCTAGCCGCTTGTTTAGTAAATGGTATATTATAAAATATGATATAGCAATAGCACTTAGGCTTATATACCACTTCGTAGTGCTTTACAGCCCTCTCTAAACAGTTTACAGAGTCAGCATATTGCCCCCAACAATCTGGCTCCTCATTTTACTGACCTGGGAAGGATGGAAGGATGAGTCAATCTTGAGCCAGACAACTGGACTTTCTGGTTTTTCTTTGAAGATGTTTTGCTTCAAAAAAGAATGTAAATAACCAGCTGTCTGAAAGGAGTATAAATCCTTCCATTCCCCACCATCCAGTCAGAGCTGAAGTAGCTTCTTGGATGAGAAGCCAAACGTTTTCAAAGAAAAAGCTAGTCATTTACATTCTTTTTTGAAGCAAAACGTCTTCAAAGAAAAAGCTAGTCATTTACATTCTTTTTTGAAGCAAAACGTCTTCAAA